GACCTTAATCCCTATGAAACTAGGATGTCCAAAGGTAAGCTCTGGAAACGCTCAGTTGAATTAAATTCACAAAACATGTTTTAAGAAAAATGTCTGAAAATAAATTAATTTTATTTAATTATAAAGAGACATTCCAGTTCAACAATGCAGTCAGTTTATTATTCAGATTTGTTAAAAACTTTGAATAAACATGCATACATTCTTCAGAATGTGAATGTGTGTGTGAAGGGGCATATCACTGAATGTAGTGTTAAGCACTTAGAGTTCTCTGTTCTTGATAAAGTGCTCCACAAGTACAAGCAATGTTTTTTTGTGTGGTTTCACCACCATCATCACACATCATGGTCCCCACTGTCCGACCATGATGTGTGCTGTGCTTGTCATGTTGGATTCTAATTTTCTTACCCACATCCAGAACACAACTCAGAACACTGGTTTTAAATGCGAGAGGTTTATTGCAAAGAAACAAAACAGGAAGGTGAGTGACAGTGTTTTGGTCCAGGATCTCTTCAACGGCACACACCAGATATCTGAGCACAGGAGGACAGGTATGGTTAGTTCAAGCTTCAGACTAGGGAGAAGAAACAGAGTCAGGTGGAGCTTACGTGGTTGGCAGTGGATCCGGACCAGGAGGAAAGGCGTCTGGGGGTGTCCAGGGCTTGATGGAAGGAAGAAGACGGCTGGAGAGGCGGCGTTGGAGGGCGGACTGGTAAGTGGGGGAATCCACTGCTGAGACGCACAGGTAGCTTGGGTTTCTTGTCAGCGTCAGGAGGATTAGGGTCAGAAAACCAACCATTTGACCTGATTTCAGGATGGTTCACGGATTCTTGAAGGTAGCACCTGAGGAAGAGGCACACAAAGATTCACTAGGAGAATTCTTGACAAGGTCAGAACAGAGAAGAAAACTCTGGGACCTGAAGTACTAAACATAGGTGACACTCTGGCAGTGAAGTGATGGCGACTCCCTCCTAATATAGGAGATTAGCAGCAGGTGCGCTGGATCAGGAGCTGTAGACCAACCCTCCAGGCAACAGCCTCAGGACCCCCTCTGGTGGATAAAAAGTGAGACAGCAACCCCACCATCCCAAAACCCTGGGCCCCAACTGTGCTCCTCCTGAGCATTGTGCTAAGACTGCGGCAGGGTTAAGAAACCCAGAAGATTGCATTAGGTCATTGACTTTCAGCAATCACTCATTCTGGATGACCGTTTAGAGTAGCGGTTCTCAACGTGGGCGGTACCGCCC